TCCAGTTCGAAATAATTGGTGTGGTGAAACAAATGGACCCCATTCGACTGGTTTAATAAGACCAACATCAAGTAAAACTGGTTTAGGTGATTGACATGGAATTTGTTGTTGAGTTGGTCTTGCTAAAAATGCTGCAGCGAATTACCAAAAAGGATTTGCAGAATGTTCTGATTGATTAAAATCAAAATCTTCTAGGCCATCTGTTGTACCAGCAACAAATCTATAACCAAGTGCAACTTGATCTGCTGTTCCATTACGTTTTGTTGATGTAAAACAGCTACTTACATTAATTGTCTTACAAAAATAAAAATAATTTTTTTTTATTTTTAAAAATTTGAAAAATCATTGTTTTGCTTGCATATTATTATAAGTATGTCGATAATCAACCATATTATTTCCATTTAGAAATAGTTGTGCATTATTGTATAAATTTTTTGCTGTTTGAAGTTGTCTATTACCAACAATTTCGTTTGATTCATACATATTTTTTTCAGGTCCAAAAGCAATACATTTTTCAGTTCATTCATTACATGTTGATGTATAATATTCACATGATAAACCAGTATCAATACATCTTGAACTCATTGAATTAGGACTAACATCTCCTTCATTACTTTGTCCTAAAGCAGCAACAAACTTTCCTTGACTAGGTAATGTTTCTGGAGGATTTTCAGATTTTTCAAATAAATACGGAGCATACCCTTTACTATCACGAGCAACTAATAAATTTGTATTATTTAAACTAACAGTATGAACTGAGTAAAAATTCATCATTTCAATTTCATTTTTTCTATCAATTTATTCAATACCAAGAAAAAGAAACATGAAAGATAAATATATATATGAGAAAAACTTAGTTTGTTGAAAAACGAACTAATCTACAGTCATTTTCTATTGCTTTCTTGTATACATTAAATTAATGAATCATATTTTTTCCATTCCATTCCCTAAAATATAAACTGATAAATATTTTAAATAAGATCAAGTATTTAAATTTACATCTGGTGGTTCACAAGTAACTCGACCTTTTGATACTTCTTCCTAGTCCATATTTAAACATGAATCACCCGGTTCATTCTAAAAATTCATATTTATTTATTTATCAATCAATCAATCATATAACAATATATTCTTACCATTGATTTATTCATTGCACGACGTGTCTTTTCATCACTATCTTCGTAGAGTCTTTGAAAAATATTGACACAAAAAAGAAAATAGAAATAGTTATAAAACATAAATCTAACTTACGCATTGGCATCATCCATATCATCTTCATTTTCTTTTTCAAGTTTTTTCATTTCTGCCTCAACTTTATTCCAAAGCATAGCACGTCGACTTAACGATGGATAACTTGGTGCTTCTCCAACTACTGGTGGAGTCCTTGGAACTAAAAATATGTATCGTATATATAAACAGGATTCACAGATTTTTTTTCTTTATAGAAATAAACTTATGTATCAATGAACGAATAAATAAAACAAAATAATTATACCTGATAATTCTTTTTCGCATTTATCATGCCATATTTTCAATTGTTCATTTGTATCTTTAATAATAAATAAGAGAATAGAAATATATTTATTAAACAAAACGAATAAAAATTAATTTACCATCGAATTTAAGACCATCAATAAATACTTGTAAGGCGTCTTCTATTGAATTTTGATGATACAAAAATATACCTTTACGAAGATATGCTTTGATATTCATTTCATCTAATTGAAGTGCATCATTACTACCGTTCAGTGCATCTAAAGAATGAAAAGCAATATTATAAATACAAGAAAAAACCAAATTCACAAGAATAATCATTCAGTTGTTATTAACATTGAGCACCTGATGCAAAAATTTTAGAAGTAAATTGGTTATCGGTTTTACCATCAATATTAAGCGCTTTTGTATAAAACCTGGAAGGCACTGCGTTGTTTAGTATATTTGGTTTGAAGGATAAAAGATGTAATAGAAAAAAAGTTTCAGAGTTTTTTTCCAAATATATCAAGGGTATCTTACAAAAACTGATGATATATTAGTAACAATATTTTTCATACTTTTCTTCATGCAGAAGACTGACATCTTTATTATATATATATATATATATATAATGAAGATCTTTTATTTCTAAAAATTTCATCTCTCTAGCTAAGACTAATCATGAAATACGTTGATAAGTCTGAAATATATAAATTTTCGAGTTTGCTTTTTCAACATGTTTTACTGTGTAAATATTGCAGTGCAATCCGATCAGTTTACAGAGAACTTTCTGAATGGTCTACCATAATTTCTAGTCAAACTAAAGACAGCTCTTAGTAAAAAAACCGGCTGCT